TCAAATGGGCTGGAATGAGAATAATTAGGAAAAAACAAAACAAAACAAAACAGTTGATGCCAGAGGTCAAAACTGGCAATCCAAGATTCAAGCCTGGCCTGAAAGTGTGTCTCATATGGCCCACACAGTGGGGGCCAGCAGAGTTTGAATAAAAAAAAAAAAATGGAATAGGTTGCCAACATTTGGAAATTGGAACATAGCATGTAGCCACCCGGATTGCTGGCTCCTCGGAAGGCACGAGGCAATCTGGCACCAGGAGCCTGTTTCCCTGCAGGCAACAGTGGGGCAGGGGAGGGGACATTTGCTCTCCAGGTTGCTAGAGGCCCCCGCGCCAGGTTTCTCACTTGCTGAGTCTATAATCCCTGGATCAGGTGTAAGGGTGATGGGATTCTGGGTTATTTCTTCCTTTCTCCCTCTTCACAGATTTGCTATTGGTTATTGTGCTACTTCAGGGTTAAAATAATCATGAAATGCCGCATTGTAAAAATCAGTGTTGAGGAAAGAGAGACTAAAGCCCACACCACTTCTCTACTCCTTGAACGTTCTTGTCTAATTTCTAGTCTTGAGTCAGGTACACTCACCTGAGAATGTCAGCTACAGAACCCAGTGGTTCTCAAACTTGGCCCCCTTAGAATGAGCTGAGGAGTTTCTGATGTCCAAGTTGCGCTCTAGACCAGTGGTCTTCAACCTTTTTGGCACCAGGAACTGGTTTTGTGGAAGACAATTTTTCCATGGACCAGGGTCACGGGTGGATGGTTTCAGGATGATTCAAGTGCATTACATTTATTGTGTGCTTTATTATTATTACATTGTAGTATATAATGAAATAATTATACAACTCACCATAATAAAAAATCACTGGGAGGCCTGAGCTTGTTTTCCTGAAGCTTCTAGATGGTCCCATCTGGGGATGATGGGAAACAATGGCAAATCACCAGGCATTCGATTCTTATAAGGAGCTCTCAACCTAGATCGCTTGCATACAGTATAGGGTTTGCGCTCCTATGAGAATCTAAGGCTGCCGCTGATCTGACAGGAGGCGGAGCTCAGGCAGTCATGTGAGTGATGGGGTGTGGCTGTAAATACAGATGAAGCTTGGCTCTGCTCCCTTGCCTGCCACTCACTTCCTGCTGTGCAGCCCGGTTTCTTACAGGCTACACAGACCCATAATGGTCTGTGGCCCTGGGATTGGCGGCCCCTGCTGGAGACCAATTAAGTCAGGATCTCTGGGGTGGGACTCAGGCAATGGATGTTTTTAAAGTTCCCCAGGTCCTTCCAATGTAAAGAAGTTTGGGCCATTGCAAATCACATACAACTTTACATTAGAGCAATTTCTCAACCTCTGTACTATTGACATTTTGGGTCAGATAATTCGTTGTTGTGCGGACCTGTCCTGTATATTATGAGTTTAGCAGCATCTTAGGCTCTAACCATAGATGCAATAGCATTTCTCCAGATAAGTAAACACTGTATTAAGTCATAAAATTATGGTCAGGAAAAGCGGCTATTATATTGGTCACCTACCCTTCTATAAGGCCTTGGAGAAATTTCTTTTGGAATTAAGTGCTAGGAAAGCATTTTCTCTCTTGAGGAACTGATATATTCCTTCCTTTCTGGATGTTTCCCCCCCTTTACTACCAGGAAGCTCCAAGTTAATGCTAAAACGCACTCAAAACCAAAACTGAAGCATAAAACAAGGCAACTACTGTAGTGTATTTTCTCCCCTCTGACTTCACAAGATGCTGATTTTCCTATTAATGTTTTGCTCATCTTTAAGTTGCTTTTTTATATCCTCAGGGAAGGAGGTAGGATGTAAATATAAACAAGGTAACAAGCCAATGAGGAGAATGACTGCTCCAACCACCGTTCAGTATTTATGACCCAAAGAACGGCTGGTTCTAAGGAGGAAGGACCTGCTAAGTAGGAACTACCTCCTAATTACTGGAGGATCAACCAGTTTTATGGAGCAAATAATGGTCAACTCCTCCAGCCTCCCGGCTTTGTCTGGAAAGAGGCTGAACTGCGTCTGTGCTGAAGGAGCCTGATGCCCAGTCGTGTGGAGGCTTCTAAGGAGAATGGCAAACACAGCCTCTGATGCGTCCTAAGAATTCCAACTCCTGGTTTTTATACTCCAGTCTGGGAAGTCTCTGAGAGGCAATGTTGTTAAAGGCAACTTGGGATATATCCCCGGGTTGACACATAACCTGCTTTCTGTAAATACAGAGCAGCTTACCTTTAGTAAAATATAACTCACTCATTAATAATCAGACGTTTTAAAGCTTTTAAAAAAATCATTATTAAGCACGACTATTTCATTCTAAATGCAAAATCCTGAATGGACCAGAGATCTTAATTTTTTAAAAATATAGCTGAGTATTTTAATTATAGATGTACTTGCATATTCTCAGTGTACTTCATTATTTATGTAGCTGGTGAAAAAGCTTTTTAATTAAATAGCATGCTGGCAATCCATTGTGAAATGTATAGATGCAGGTTTTCCTAGCATTATGAAGCTGAATACAGATGTTCGCCAACTTATGATGGATTTAGCCGGATGTAACCCCATTGTAACGTGAGGAGCTACTGAATGTGTATTACTTTTGCACCGTGATAAAGATACTATAAGCTGGGTCAGGTGTGATGGCTCACGCCTGTAATCCCAGCACTTTGGGAGGCCGAGGCAGGTGGATCACGTGGTCAGGAGTTTGAGACCAGCTTGGCCAACACAGTGAAACCCCGTCTCTACTAAAAATACAAAAATTTAGCTGGGCATGGTGGTGGGCACCTGTAATCCCAGCTACTTGGGAGGCTGAGGCAGGAGAATTGCTTGAAGCTGGGACGTGGAGGTTGCAGTAAGCCGAAATCGCGCCACTGCACTCCAGCCCGGGTGACAGTGCGAGACGCCGTCTCAAAAAAAAAAAAAAAAAAAAAAAAAAAAAAAAAAAAAAAAAAAAAAAACCACAATAAACAAAAAATTGTAAGCCGAACCATTAAAAGTTGGGAACCATCTGCACACACACACACACAACATTGTGGCGAGCACACATACTTTAATCACTATAAAATGCTTGTCTCTGAATGATCTTAAAATTCGACCAAACTTTTCTTATATTGCTAATGTAATAGTGTAATTTGCCACCACTCCACTTGATTACTTATGTTTAATGTATTCGACTACCTTGGAAATAGAGTAGTGGTTCTCAACGTGTGGCCCCCACACCAGCAATATCAGCATCATCTGGGAATTTCTTGGGCACAGTTTTGAGGCCCACCCCAGGCCGACTGAATCAGCAGCTCTCGGAGTTGGGCCCAGCACCCCAGGATGTACCAAGCTCTCTAGGTGATCCTGGAACAGGTTAAGGCTCGAGAGTCACGGGATGGGGGTTATGCACTGTGGCGATGGTAATCTCGGTTTCATCAATGGTTCTCCTGGTGACACGTGGTCACAACAAAGTCAACTGTTCCCTGCTTTTAGCTCCCCACCAAAAAAGTGCTGTGATGATTCCTGTTTGTTTAAGGTTCAAAGATCTCAGAGCTTAGAAGAGGTCAAAAAACTCACAGTGGCTTAAATATTTTCAGCATAGTTTGCATGAAGGTTGCCTATGATTACCAGGTCTTTACTTACCAATTTTGACTAAACATGTATATCAGGGTTCACATTACACATAGCAATTCTCTTCTTTCAATAAACAAAAAGAAGCTCTGAAATTAGACCTCCTACTTATTCACCATTGGATGGCAGGCTGTAGCGGAGGCAACCTTCCAGAGATGCCGCACGCCTGGGTGAAGGCTGATGACCAGGTTCTATAACCTTCCTGGGCTGGAGGAACCAAGGCCAGGAGGTGAAGGAACTCCCATGGGGAGGCAGTGCCAGAACTACAACAAACAACCATCTGACTCCTCGCTCTGTGCTTTGTCTTCTGAATGAACAATGCTGCTTCTTAAGTACACATAAGCCAAACTGCCTCTCAAATTGCAGCCATCTACTTTGAGTTCAGATTTGCACAGCATGACATGAATTGGGCTGCAAATTATGCAGAAAACAGCCATCACATCCATCTGTGATGTCAGAATCCTCAAGTACAGTGTGACCTGTTAGTATGTGACAGAGTAGAAGGATACTGTGTCTGCTTCCTTCCCTATGAAGAGTGATGAATATCCTTCCAGATGCATTTGGCCCCAGTGTGAAAGGTTAAATATGATTGAGGGAATGCCTGTGATATGCTCAAGAGCAGATTTCACATCCAAGGGTGCAGGCAATTAGATTTTTTTTTTAATGGTGTAGTAACTAGAGAAAGAAAACACACAAATACACTCATACCTAATGGTAAACTGAATTTATTTCCTCTTGGAAAACAATTCCAGTAATCTCCAGGTTCAGACCGCAGAGTAAACATTAATAACAGTAACATACAGGTTAGTTCAACTGATTCAAGAATTTGGCTGCATGAAATCATGAAGGAAAACCTTGAACACTCAAAGCTTCAAATGTATCCAGGGAAAAAAAAATTCTTTGACAGTCTACATAACAACTATTGCATATATAGTGATGCTACCTGTCACATTGCAAGGCTTACAAATATATATATACGGGCCTTATCCAGCTGTGGGGTTCTGTTCTGTGAGAACATCTCTTCATGGTTTGGAAGAATCTTCAGCAATAAAAAATAGTCTTAGATTTAAGCGCTGATATACCAAAAGAGAAATTCTAGGCTTAAGTGTAAAGAAAAGGAAGTCCAACCATAGTCTCATGTATAACAGTTGTTTTTAATCTTTCTTCCTTAAAAATACTTTATCTTAAGCCATTTTGGTCATATGTCTTTTTTTTTTTTTTTTTTTTTTTTTTTTTTTTTTTTTTTTTTTAGGGCTTATGGTGAAAGTGGAATTCAACCATAGTCTCATGTATAACAGTTGTTTTAATTCTTCTTCCTTAAAATACTTATCTTGGGTTATATTTTGTATTAGATAATTTTTTTGACTTTATCTGGAATAGGTCTGTATTTTTTTTTTTTTTTTTTTTTTTTTTTTTTTTTTTTTTTTTAATCTTGCCTGAATAGGGCCCAAGTCCACTTGTCTTTATAAGACCATTTTAGTATTAGACGACATAATACATGTGCAACACTTTATATACAAGGGGTCTATCCGGTGCGCAAAAGTTCAAACACATGAACATCCAACAGTTTTGATAATACAAGTTTTATGGTACAATACAATGTTTCTGAATAATATACATTAACAATGAAAGTTTCGTGCAAAGAGTAAAACATGTTCCCTTTTTGTGCCACAAAAGCAATTCTCCTTGAGAGACTGTACTTGCACTAACTGCTGTGTTGGGTCATTGTATGATTCTGTAAATAACAAAAAAAAAAAAAAAAAAAAAAAAGGGAGAGAGGGAAAACAAACTTCAGTGATTTCATTTTCATCAGACCAAGCATATATACATGTAATTAATTCATAATGACTTGAACAATGAGCTTCTGCCCTCTGATGAATAGTGCTCATGCGTGCCCTCCAATGCTAAAAAAAAAAAATCTAATGCTCCTTCCCCAGGGAGAAACAGACCCAGAGATCTTCTGAACCTGCTGCCACCCGTGAGGGCCTGGAAGGAGAGGCCAGGGCAGGAGCCTCCTTACTGTGAGATGGCTGGCTGGCACCTTGTCTTTTCTCCACCTCTGCCATGTCTTTCTATAATACCCTCTCACCATCCATCATCTCTTCTTATTAAGATCGGACCCAGTGTTCAAGAAGCAGGTAGCACTGTTTTAACAGTTTTATGTATCTGTGCATGACCTCCATTGGTTACACATGCCTCTGTTTCAATCCCTCCGAGACTGTAACATCTTGACAACAGGGGCTCTATCTGCCCCTGAATATGGGTATGAAATGCCAGAGTTACCTGGCAGATGATGGACAGTGGCAGCAGCGCCCCTGCCAAGGGTGGGCTTCGGGCTGTGGTCATAGCGTGTCTCAGGAGCAGATTATAGTAGCCTGCCATGTCTCCCCAGTCCCCGGATGCTCTTTCTCAGCTAACCAGCCTGCACTGTATATTGGTGGTCTCCGTTTGTCTATGCTAGCATGTCCCCTTTCTGAGTGAACACCCTCTTTCCAAATTGTGAGAGGGTAACTGGGATTGCCGGGCAACTCAGGACCACCAGCCATGCTCTGAGGGTGGACGGCAGGTGGGAAGGCTCCAGAACCAGGCCTGGAGGATAGTCACAGATCTACGGGATATTTGCTTGGAGCATAAGCCTGGAGATGGCCTGATCTCCACTCTCCTCCTCTGCGCTTTCTTGGAGCCATATTCTCTCACTACTCACCTGTATCCCCTGACCCTCATCCCTTCTTATTACAACCTTGGGGCCTAGCTCAATATATCACCACTTTCATCCTCACCCCATCTAACACTAATCTCTCCCTTCTCTGATTTCCTGCTGCACTTTATACTGCTTATATAGGATGCATCCTAGGTCTTGTCCCATGATTATTTGTAGGCCTGGCTCTCACCCACGCTGGTAATTCTGATGTTCATTCATTTATTCATTCCTCTACAAGCATCTATTGGAAACATACATCAGCACCTGGCACACGCCATAGCGCTGCAGTGCTCAGGAAAGAGGGTTTGGCTATCTCAGTGACTGGCTGGCAAGGCAAGGGCTGCTGGAGAGGAAGGGCATGGTCCTTGCCTTCATGCCTTCAAAGTGCTCACGTCTAAAGAAGGTCATGTGGGCACATAACCATAAAGCAAGATGGCAAGCAGTCTATTAGAAAAGAACACAGAAATGTCACGGCCACACCTAAACCTGCCTAGCCCTTGGAGAAGGGTTCACAGTGGATCCAGCATACTGAGAGCTGGAAACATGAGCAGAGAGTACAGGGAGGGCACTCTAGGCCAAGGGACCCACATGGGTGAGGTCAATGAAATAGGAATATGCAAGGTATGTTTGCAGACCTGCAACTTGTTTAGATTGGTTGAATTCTTCTGGAGAATGTTCTGAATCAACAATACTCATGAGACGTGAAGATGGAGCTGGTTTGGGGCAAGAATATGAGCAGTCCTTTTCCACCTTGCTAAAGAGCTCAGACTGTCTTGTAGGGTTAAGGGAGCCACTGGAGTATTTTAAGCAGAGGGATTCATCTTAGAGATGTTTGTTATCTCTTCATCCTTTACAGCAACTAGCAAACTGCCTGCTCCCTGAATACAGGCTGAATGACCAGAGGTTCAGCTGAGAACCAATTGGGGCTAGGTGCAGAAGTGGGGGAGCTTGGAGCCTTGTGAAGAGGACTTAGGTCTTCCTTGTTCCATTTTACATTTAGCTCATTTTTGAAAAAGATGGATGACAAATCATGACGGAGAACAGTATTTCATTCTCCCTTATTTAATACATATCTTAATAGTCTCGGCCTCAAAGTGAATACAGGAAGTAGCAAATTGTTTTTATGCCAGCTCTTTTATCGGTATATTGATTTTTAATACTTCTGCAAAGTACCTGTCACCAAGATGTAGAGAGAAAGGGTAATAAAAGTACTCATGAGACCAAAAAACTTTGCTATTTTCTTAAAAATCAACATGATTCTGTTCAGAAAGGTTATAAATAAAAGTTTGATTACTCAAAATACACCACGTCTAAGCCTTCTTATATCTTTTGCTATCTCAGAGTCAAGTTTATAGAAAGGCTTTTTATTTTAAAAAAGTCCAAAAATAATGACCAAGTAAGTACAACAAGATATAATACAGATTGAGCATCTCCAAATGGGAACATCCAAAATCCAAATACTCCAAAATCTGAAACTTTTGAGCACCGACATGATGACATATAGGTGACTAAGCTAGTGACACCTTTGCTTTCTGACGGTTCAGTGTACTCAGACTTTGTTTCATGCACAAAATTATCGAAAATACTGTGTAAAATGACCTTTGGGCTATGTGTATAAGGTATACGAGAAATATAAATGAATTTTGTGTTTAGACTTGGGTTGCATCCCCAAGACATCTCATTATATATATGCAAATATGCCAAAATCTGAAATCGAAAACACTTCTGGTCCCAAGCATTTTAAAACAGGAATACTCAACTGTATTTGCCTAAATGAAAGGACTCTGACAGAAAGACGGGTGTTTTTCTCTTCTTACCAAAATCAAAGTAAAAAAAAAACAGTTTAATAACATTATTTTCAAATGTTTAAGTGCTTATGATGGACTATCCACATGTGATTGGATTCTAGGGGTTAGTGAAAGAGTACACAGTGCAATTTTCCTGGTGTTTTTATATGTGCTCATATCAAGATGCTACAAAACGAGAACCCAAAACAAACTGCCCGTAACAGTTGGCAATGGTTGTGTGTTGTATGCTTTCATCCTCAACCAAAGCCATACAGGTCTCTTCAGAGGTGCAAGGAACATGAACAAACACACATGCATCACTTACTGCAACAGACTGAAGTTGTTTCATAAAGGAGTTATGTTTCGTATATAAGAGAGAGGAATACAAATCATTTGTGAGAAGGATAAGGGTATGGCTTGTGAAATCCACAAATAAAGCAACCCAATGTAAGTAATATCAACATAAGAAATCCGGTGTGAGAAATGTAAAGGCAGGAAGTCCTCTTGGTTTGGAGATGCCTGCAGACCACAGAGGTCTCTTATTCTCATTTTCTTTGGTTTCCCCTTTTTCGCTCCAGCCCAACAGAGAGCTATGGCAGAGTCTCCCCAGGCCTGGCTGTCCACCGCTGGCAGTGACTCTCATGGCGGAAGGCAGCATGTTCCTAGAGGTTCTTGGGCAATGGATATATTTGTGTCGGAAACAACCCCGCCATGGGATTCTGCTCCATCCTCAAGGGCTTGCCTTTGCCACCTTTGAGGATCTAGGGGACGTGTCTGTCCTCCTCCCCCATGCAGTATTTCAAGTTCACTGGAAATACAAATGGCCTCATTTCATTTTCTGGGGGAAGGAATGGAATATCTGAGCCACAGTTTATTCGACTGGCTTTTAGGTGTTGGGGAGAACAGACGCGAAGTCCTAGTCTCTGGACTTGACTAAAGACTCTCTGACTAGAAAAACAAGAAGTTGTTTCATGGGAGCACTCAGTGTTTTTTTGTGTTTTCTGACGCTCATAGACATTATTTCTTCAGAAAGGGAGACAAGAGGCAAGAGGGAAGGATTAAAAAGTAGATAGCAGAAGCACCAAGCAAAGAGAGGGTACGCTCTGAGGCCCACTTTGCTCTCCCCCTGGCTACTTGCCATACCACCGAACCAGTCCTGAGACAGCAAGGACACAAATGCATATGAGCAGAAAGCAGAAAAGTGCTGCCAGGCCATCCACAAGCAGCCTTCTCTCTGTGCAAGAGTTTTCAGCTCTTTAGGTCCAGAGGAAACCACTACACTAGAACAAAGCAGTGGGTAATCTCACCAATTTTACACAGCAATTCACAGTCCCTAAAGTACTTTAATGCAATGACGGGTTATGAGAAAAAATATCTGTTCCAATGAAGGGAAAGTGTTTTACATAATCGAGGAGAACATCAGCGCAACATCGGTGCATCGGTGGAGGTGGGGGGTGAAGACAGAAAAGGAAGTAGGAAGAGAAGAAAACTTCTGTAATCCCACAGAGAGCCATATTGTACTCTGCAAAAAGCCATCTCCTGGAGACCCCATGTCTAAGTAACTGAAAATTGCAAACCATTAATCCCAGTTATGAACAGTTGTTTTACACGAGGGGGGTGTGTGTTAAAAAAAAAATCAAATCTACAACATACCTTAAAGCTTAAAAGAAGATCCATCTAGGTATGATACCTTAATAGCGAGGTTTCAAAAACACTTTCTTTACTGGAAAGGGCCCCATTTGGAAGGAGTGTGCTGTATGTATTTTTTTTTTTCTCTATAAATGTGAAATTAAACTTAGAAAGCTAAAAAACAGATGAGGGCCTTAAAAATTCCCTTCTAGCACTATGTATTTCTTTTTAAATATGAGATGCCTTTCATTTTACAAGACTGGAATTCTCATTTTGGGCTTGGCACTCTAACAAATGATTAATTCAGCCTTCTTTTTCTCTGAGAGCTGACCACATTTACTGGTCAAACAGTTTAATCCTATTTAAAATGCAATCCAAGAAAAATATTTTTAAGTAAAAATAAAAATCCATGATCCTTTGAAACTGTTCACCTTGGCTAAAGACATTCCATTTTCCTGCAATCTTGATGGAAATTTGAATTTTTGCACCTATATCAATGATGAAATTCAGCTCTGGAGGAAAGCCAGGGGGAACCTATCTTCCCAGGGCTGAAAAATTAAATTCCCAACCCCAAAACTTATGCCCAGAGATTGCCTTCACTTTTCTAATTCTTTGGCA